TTATATATAAATAAAGGCATGGTCGACTGCAAGTACAGTTCGACATTTCAGCATCTCTTCTTCTTCTCCTCTTTTCTGCTACTTCGACTACAGTGGTTCAGCTTTCAACTAGGTTCCCTCTATCACCYAGAATCGCCTAGGCACCTTGACAACTATTTTTTTTGGAGGAAAATGAAATTTTCATCAAAAGAAAAAAAAGAAATTACAAGAAAAGTGACCACAAGTCACCCAAGAGAAGAAATAATAAGCCCGACACCCCTCCAAACCCTCAACATCCCAACCAAAATGTAAAACAACCTCTCCAAAGTCTGAACCAAAATGCAAAATGCAAACTGAACCAATCCAACCAAACCCTAACCCCCTACTATTTCTATTGTAATTTCAACCCTAAAGTAAAATAGAAAAAACCACCTCACACAACCAGAACCAAAAACAAATCCCCAACAATCAACAAAAACCCAACAACATCTAAACTCTAGACTCCAAATTACCAACTAAAGACTCCATTTGATTACTTAGCTTCTCCTATGGCTTTAATATTTTTCTTAAAACTGCCCTTTTGATAGGACAAATCCCAAACAAACCCCCTTTCAGTCTGATGAAAACTTTTGAAACCCGAACAGTCCAATGATTCTTCTGACTTCTAAAGCATCTTGTTGCATTTGGGTTTTCCTTCCGTTCCTTTGTGTCCTTAATACTTGCATTAATCCTTGACAACTATGTTTGGATCACATCAGTCTTCAGTCCTATACCAAGTTGGCATCAGAACTATTCATCCTACGTCACTAAGTTTATCAAACTCATTTTGATATCTGTCAATGAACAACAATAACAAAGAATTCAAATAAAAAAAACACCAAGTATCCTTCAAACCCTATCTTTCCCTTCCTTTCTCTAATTTTCCCTTTAAACTGTGTGATATTAGGAGTATAGATGAAATTAGCCATTCCTCGCAACTATAATTTATTAAAGGTTCTTGTATATAACTTCGCTAACAAAAATAAAAAGATGTGGTTCTATGCGAATAATTTATAGTCAAAAGGAATAAGGGCCAAAAGAATGATCTAGAAGCTGCGACATCATCTGGGATGCTAAAAGGACATGGGTAGAGGTAGTAAGAAATTATTTAGGCACTAATAATTTAACAGTGGATATGACTTTAAATAGAATGGATTGGCGAAACAGGATTCATGTAACCAACCGCATATTGTTGGGATAAGGCATGGATGAGGATGATGATTGGTGGCTTTAAACATAAATATTGAATTTTTATTTGTTTCAACTTGTACCAATGGTTCACAGTTTTACAAATCACAAAAAATATTTTGCATTTCTCCCTCAGGAACCTTAAAGCCTATTATTTTTTTATAATAACCTTAAAACCTATTATTATCAGTATGCATTTTATCTTTTCTTTTTGTTTTGAGTAATCCAATAAATTTATAAGTTATACTTATGTGAGTTTTGTCAAAATTTTCAGCAGTTAAAATGCCAGTTTGATACATCAACATCTAACATTTTATCAACTCATAGAAGGAACCTAAAAGAAAATTGAAAAGGAAAAATAAATTAAAAAAAAAACTCATCAAAATTATATTCCCATGGAAAGCTTCATATTTTTTTCAATCAATTCAATTAGAAAGAGTTCAAAGATCAACACCTTCAAATGATGTCCGATCATAAACAGGGATATGCATGCATCTAACTTCAAAAACCCTGCAGTGAAAATTTTTCTAAATTAGATATCTTCATCTAGATGTAACTTGATATGTAGGCCATAATTTGCAGTACATATAGGGCCAAATGTACAGTTTTTCCCTGACAATCAGAATGAAAATTTTCTTGATATTCCATATTAATAGTGTCAACTTTTCACTCACAGGATAAACACACGAGGAATAGATCGGGAACATGTTTAGAAGTTAAATTCGTTGCAGAAAGAATGCAAGAAGGAAAGCCAAACGAATTTAAGGCTTCTCAAAAAAAAACAAAGTTTTGGGGGGTTAAATAACAATAATTTAAGCCCCCTGTAAAAACTAAAAACTAAAAAATAAAACAAAAAGGTTTTGAGCCACCCGAAAACACCCAATACACATGCCCATGCATACCATGCATATTAATATTTTGAATCTTGGAAGGAAAGCCATACATATGGCAAAATTAACACTTGTATCCAACTTCATACAAGTTAAATGATATCCACATGGCAGAAAACATAAGGAAAACAACAGGAAATATAAGATAGACTTCCCTATTTTATTATCATATACTCATTTGCACTTAAAGAAATAATACAAGATAGACAAAAGAAATGCCTTCCTAGAATGAAATTTTCCTGGTGCTACTCTTCCAAAGTAGATTTTTTTGTTGAATTGTTTTGCTTCTGAGATCCTCTTTGAGGTGGCATTTTGTTTTTGTGGACTCTCATTGTGTGTCTAGTATTGATTTTCTTTTTCTCTTGTTAACATCAGTATTTTAAAAGCACAAGGGCCAATTTGCGCCTGAGGTGCAAGGCGAGGCACACAAGCCTTTTTGAAGCAAGGCACAAAAAAAAAATAAAAAATTAAAAACGATAGAAAATTAAAAAAAATCAAACAAAATATTAAAGATAATATTAATAAAAATATAAACTTAAATTTTAAAATAAACGTTCTGAAAAAACCTATTATCTAAAATTAAAATACATAAACATAACATGTAAAGCGTATCCAAATGTAAATTTAAAAATAAAATCAAACATATAAAACATTTTCAAGCATGTAAAACCCATAATCTCTTTTTTTCCTCAATTGCATTACTTCAAGAAGCTAATGTGATGTATGATATATTACATTCCTGATTCTATGAGCCGCCTTTGTGCCACGCCCCTAAAGGCAAGCCAAACAAGTCCACGTAATGGTCTTAAATTCTTAATTTTCACACAAAAAAAAATAATGATTTTATAATTTTAATTGCCTTTTAAGAAGATATTTTATTAGGATGAATGAACGAACAACATTAGCGTGAGGCTCCCACTAATGTGGGGTTTGGGGAGGGATAGATGTACGCAACCTTACCCCTACACATACAGAGAGGCTGTTTCCAAGATTTGAAACCTGGTCACCTATGTCACAGTGGAGTAACCCAACCATTGCACCAAGGCCCACCCTCTTTTTTGGTAATACAATGGAGAATATAAATATGAAATATTTAATTTATTAGTTATAAATTGTATGTAATATGAATTTTAATTGGACTCAGATCTTAGTCAGATCAGATGGGGTTAAAACTTAACATATTGCTCTAGTTATTCACAAAGGAAAAATGAAAGCACCTTTCTAAACCAAGGCCGATTACCTGTTAACAAAGGAGCCATTTGGTGTAAGTCATGTCATAGTTTATCATCCAGATGGATAAAATTCATTTTATATTTTTATTCAAGAAAAATAGTCTTAAAGGGAAAGGGCAATCCATTCATCAAAGGGAAAATGGCTAAAAACATTCAAGAAAATAGAACACAAAAAACCGTATACAACTTTGATTCTTCACTTATCAAATAATCATTGAATTCAATAATGCAAAAGTTGCTTCTCCAAATTAACTAAAAATTTATACCCAACTCCTAACATGTAAAACTTGAGATCGTGTTCATAAGTCCTTATTTGTGGCTATGTGCAAGTGATAACATGTAATAACCCCCAATGACATAAAATAATGCCACATTCACTTTAGCAAATAGGATAGATTTGACTAACTTGCCAAGAGATTTATGATGCAAAATGATCCCCAGGCCCGTACCATCAATTCCTGCATGCCCCAATTAATAAAGCAATCAGCATTCAGATATCAAAGTTACAGAAAACCTCCAAAATACTGAAACACAAATTGCCTAAAACATTAATAATCAGTGAAACATAAAGTAACAAAAGGTTTGAACTAATACAAAATTTAATTGCCTAAGAGTTCGCCTTGGTCAATTAGCAAACACGGCGCTATCCACAGTTAGACATTGATTACCGGGCAAAAACAGTAGCACAGGTGAATCTTTTAATGAACGCCCACATTCGAGGGGACAAAACCAGCGAGGAGGCCCACCATCAGGCTTAACCATGTCCTTGGCCATATCAAGGAAATCCTTCACACTGTAAGTCCCAAAACCATCATCCCACAACACTTCCAACTCTTCCAGACCCATTACGTTCTTCGTATTGTCCATACGTTTCGGACCAAAACGACCATTCCCTCCATCAATCCTAGACCCAATTCCATCCTGGTCTCTAACGAAAGGAGCTCCATTGGTTTCAACAGACTCCGAAGACACCACCGCCGGGTTCCCACCGGCCAAAGTACGACACTGAAATCTACCGCATATTTTGGGTCTAGAAAATGCAGTAAGAGAAGGCAAACCCAGAAGACGAGTAGCAGAACAATATACTATAGCCGAGGCCATGGCCTCTCCAACCAATAAGCTCTGAAACTGGGGTTTGAAGTAAGTTTCAGCACTTCGGGGAAGCTCAGAAGAGACGCTATGATACAGAGATTTCTATGGAGAATTACACGAAGTTATTAATGCAGTGATTTATTACGTCTGGAATTGCTCTAACTAAAACTAATCACACTTTTCTCGCCCAAGCTTCTCTGCAACGGACTGAAGGTGAAAAATAGTAATTTAATGAATTTCGTTTGGTCGATTGAAAAGAAAAGACGGAAAGGGATTGAACCGTTTCTGGAATCCCATTGATTATGCAGATAAAACACGGAAAACAAGAAAACAGATCTTAACGACAAGGAAAAAGAAAAAGGAAAACAGTGAAAATTACTGGTTTTTCTTGTTTATTTGTTGGGTGAGTAATCTTGTTTTCTTTCACCCGTACGGTAGGATGGCGGAGAGCTTTTTGGCGAGAGATGCGCTTGAGCTTCTGAGTTGCGCCCATGCCTTGTTCTTGATTTCTTGCCCACCTGTTCATAGCCTTCTCTGGTTCTCTCTTTCGCCAAAACTCACCACTCACTCACTCCTTCGCCGCCTCCGACAGGCGACAAGGCCGCGCCACCTCCAGACATCATCGGCCGGGTAGCCCGACGAATTGGTCCGGCCTGGCCCGATAGTATTATACAATGTTTTTTAACCGTCGTTGACCCGGACGGTCGGACCGTTCAATGCAGTAACCGTCTAAGCAATYGGTTCTGTTTCACCTCTAACCCATTTTTGGGTCAAAAATCATTGACTCCGTCAGAAAACTGCTGACATGGGTGGTTAAATCGTCAACTCATTTGACCGGACAGTGGTTCACAGTTTTAAAAACTTGCAGAGAGGAAAAACACAAGACCTCAAATATGAGATCCAGTCTGAGACACAATCTCAAATCTGAGATCCAGGTCAAAGAAGAAGAAAAAATGTTGTAGAAAAATCGATCTCAAATATGAGATTTGAGAACTTGGATCTCAGATCTCAGATCTATGTTGTTGTCACCTTGCCGTTGCCATTGCGATTATCGTCGCCGATGAGCATTGAACCATCCTCCTCCTCCTCTTCTTTCTTCTTCCCTCCTTCCCTCTTCCATTTTCTTCCCTCCTCCTTCCCTCCTTCCCTCCTTCCATTCTGGCTTGTTTGGCTTGAAGGAAAAGGTAGGGAAATCTATACAAGGTTTGTAAAGGATTTCCTACATTTCCTTTCCTTTCCCTACTTTTTCCTTGAAACCAAACACAGTCTTCCTTTCTCTTCTTTTCTTTTTTTCCTTTCTCCTTCTTTCTTTCTTTCTTTCTTTTCTTTTTTCTTTTTTTCTTTCTCAGTCGACATCAGTCTCTTCTCCATTCTCCTTTCTCATATCAACATAAATATTTGCCCTAACAAAATTGCAAACCGTCCGAACCGTTCGACCCGAACGATAGAACCGTTGACCCGGAAACTGGTAACTAGAACGGTTCCGTTTTTTGGTCGATTTTTAAAACCTTGGTATTATATATCTATATCTATATTATACTACTACTAAAATTAAAAGTTAAAAGTGGAGATGGGAGTGTAAAACTTTTGTTTTCCACGCAGAGCTCAACAAACAACCGAAAATATGAAATCACTATTATAACTATGATATGGAAAAGATATGATATCTAAATAACTTCTTAACAATCAATTGGAATCATAAATGTGATAGCCAATGAGGTGTTATTTATCAAAATTCATGGGTGGGTTTTGATTGGTTAAAACTCTTCCCATATCATATCTTTTCTGCATCATAGATTTTCTCTTATAATTATAATTGGATTATGATTTTTGAGAACAATGTGGCTGAATTATATATATTCATAAGGCATTTTTGTTAGTTTTTTATTTGCCCTTTTAAATAAAAGAAAAATAAATTACTTTCATTAAAATAAAAGTAATGGAAAATTTTAAAATATATCCTCTAACACACACACTCTCTCACCCCTAATGTCAAGCCCCCATCAGGTACCACACAATAGAGGTGATCACAGTTTAGTTATTTATTTGTAGGCCTATTTTTGAAATCGAACTGTCTTAGACAGTGTATGCCCTTAGCTCCAATAAGAATGATGTACATAAACGTTTTTTTTGTAAATGGATAAAATACATTGTTGTTTCATGTTAATATTGGTATGTTTCTGTTATTGCCCCTTAAACTGGACACTTAAGAGACTTGTGGTGTTAGTCTAGAATGTTCTTAGCCATTTGATAAATTTGGGGAGTTTATCTTGATAAGGCTAACACTGGTGCGCTGCCAAAGAGTTGGAGCAACTTGTCTCAACTGCTATGGCTAGACCCCAAGCACATCCAGTTTGTGTTTAATAGCATTGAACCCGGACCAATTTCCAAAGTTACACATAACGCAGACTTGAGTATGGTACTACACTAGGTGTTAGACTTGGTTGTCTTCGATATGCCAACCAGTGATATTCATGGTCAAATACCTAGGTGTATTGGGGCAGTCTAAGAATTCACCTGAGTGAGTAATCATAATGATAAGATCGGCCCCTTTGTTGAACAAAGTGAATATATGGGCTTACACTTTCTCTGATGAAAACCTAAAYTGTTAGYTAGTGGATTTCACTTGGGTTTGAAATCTGGTTTTGCAAAATATATTTATATGTTATATATATTACTATTTTATGAAAGGGTTTGCAAAACATTTTAATCCTAGGATCCATTTGATTAGAGAGTATGACACTGCACCTTATAGCCAGGGGAGAGGTCCTTCTCTATCAGGCAGTGTTTTGATCATTATGGATTGAGAGGTTAAGTGTAAGAAACCATTACAGGGCTGATTTACTTGATGTGCTTTGTCTTGTATAAGTACATTATTCTTGGGTCTTCATAGAGTGGCTGAATCCAAAGATCATTTAAGTGTAAATGTTGGGCCCAAACTGGACCAATGTTGATTGGGTCAAGGGTTCACTACCCTAAGCAGTGAATTTAGCCTAACCTCTTTCAAAGATTGGGTCGAACCCATGTAGGCTTATGTGAGATCATTGTGGGGTCCCACACCATACAATATCAGGCCTAAAGTGGCCATACAACACCTTGGATCATGAGCCTTTGAACTAGATGGGCCTAAGACCCATAATTAATAAGATTAAGTAAGTCGTTAAGTTGTAATGTGCTCTAATTTGGGTTTGGTAATAGGTATGGAGCACCTATCCTCTTAAGAAGATAAGGGTTATCTCTTAATAGAGTCCAGATCCAAATTAGATTTGTATAATCTCCTAATTTGTTTAGGAGAGTGCTCTATAAGGAGATAAAAGAAGAAGAGGGTGAACCAAACTAGAACACCTCTCTCTCTTGTTTTCTCCTCTTTTCTTTATCTCCCAAGAAACCCTATCACGACCTAGGTTTTCAACAACTGATTTTTTATCACTTTTCCTTTTAGGTTTTACAAGAAAAACGTTGAAGAAAATTAGGCTCACTTACCTCATTCGATTCAAGCAAGTTGGATCACAATTTTGTTGAAAATAGTGTTGTTGAACCAAGTTCACTTACACACTATGCCATTTTCARTAGAGGTTGGTTTTAGGATTGATTTGGGCGTAAACTTTCACCTTGGGATCTGCGCTTGTGGTATTCGCATTAGGTATAATTTCCACTAGTGATTTGGTTTCAAATCTGGTCTGATTCAATGCAAGATCGATCTAGAAAATTCAGTTTTCGAATTTATCGGGAAATCGGTTCCTGCAAGGGTTAGAAAATTTTTTGAAATTTCGCCCAACCATCTAGCATGGTTTAGCCATCCATATGGTGGATTCTAAACCATTCCAACAAACTGGTCCTACCAGCTTTTGGAAAATCGGTAACCAAAACCAAGCCGAAGCCGATCGATTAACCGGTTAACTGGTTTAGTTAACCATCAGTTTGGTTCGTCGTTTTTTCAGTTTTTTTATATTTATAATATATATTATAAAAACATATAAATATATAATAAAAATAGAATTATATATAAAATATTATATTTTAAATAATAAATAATATATTATATATTATAAACATATATTTATATATAATGCATATTTATTAATTTATAATATATAGAAAATATAAAAACATATATAATATACATAAATATGTATGAACTATATAGAAATATATGTGTACTGGTCGGTTTGGTTAACCGCCAGTTTTCTATATTAGTTAACCAAAACCAAACCGATCAATTCAGTTAATTGGATTTTCGATTCAGTTTGATTTTTCGATTTTTCTTGCTCACCCCTACCATACAACCCCCTCTCCCCCACCCCAATTATGACACCAGGTCCCACAGAACCTCTCTCACCTATCTCTCTCTCTCTCTCTCTCTCTTCACATGGGCCCCATCAACTCCCACACAACTCCCTCTCTCCCTCCAATTATAACACTAGATTCCATTCCCCCCCCCCTCTCTCTCACTTATGACATCGAGTTCCATCTAACCCCCCTTTTTCACTATATTCCTCTTTATTAGGGATGATCATTTATGATTTGGTTTGGCCAGGCCTACCTTGCTTTTCCCACAAATTTCTAGCCCTAGACAACCATATTATTACCAAAATTACTTTTACAAAAGCAATTTTATAAAGTAATTTTATGAAAAGGACTTTTACAAAATTACTTTTACACGAAAGCACTTTTATAAAAGTACTTTTACGAAAATGAAAGTACTTTTACGAAAACACTTTTATGAAATCATAAAAGCACTTTTATAAAAGTACTTTTATGAAAGCACTTTTACAAAAGTACTTTTACATAAAAGCACTTTTACAAAAGTATTTTTACATGAAAGCACTTTTATTAAAGTACTTTTACGAAAACATTTTTGTGAAAGCATAGAAGCACTTTTATAAAAGTACGTGCTTTTATGAAAGTACTTTTATGAAAGCACTTTTATAGAAGCACTTTTGTAGAAGTACTTTCATAAAAGTACTTTTGCAAAAGCACTTTTATAAAAGTTATGCGTTTTCTGCAATTTTTTGTTATTTTTTGCATTTTCTGTATTTTGTTGGTATTTTTTTGCATTTTTTTGCAATTATTTGGAATTTTTCTACGTTTTCTAAAATTTTCTGGTTTTTTGCATTTTCTACAATTTTTTGGTGCTTTTCTACATATTTTTTACTTTTTTTGGTGTTTTTCATGCATTTCATACAATTTTCTGTAATTTTTAGTATTTTTCGTAATTTTTTTTTGTGTTTTTGCATTTTTTGTAATTTTTTTACTATTTTCTACATTTATCTACAATTTTTGCATTTTTAGGTATATGGGTTGACCTAACTCGTTTTTCTCACGTGGAAGTTTTGAGAGAGATTATTCTCTCAAAATTCATTATTTTGGATATACAGGCTATCTTGACCCATTTTTGTATTTATAAGTGAGGGTAAGTGGATTAGTATGGTGAGAGTGGTTAAGGATTAATATGGATGGATCAAGTGGGTTAATATGGGTGGGCCAGGGTGGATTATGACCCTTTAATAAGGATCGATGATGGGTTATAGTGGGTTGATGAGTTAATATTCAACCCTTACCCAACCCACTCATTTGCCACCCCTATCCAATATATGAAAGATTCCTAGGTCATTGAGGCTTCATTACATGATCTAATTAGCAAAGCTTTTATTCATGGAAATAGTTAATTTCATCTTGAGGCCTGGCCATGTGTATATAATAAATCCACTTCCATAGATAGCTTCTAGAGTAAATCCTGTAGGAGCCCATTTGGGAGGGGTGGAGTTTTAGTTGGGCTGCTTTTGGTGATATGCTTTGAAGAATAAACTAATTAAAGAAACTTCAACTAAAAACCCTTTCATGAAAGCTGTTTGGGCAGGGCTCGCCTTATAAAAGCAAAAGCCTTTGCATGAAAGCTCTCCCAAATTCGACAAAACTCCACTACAAGATTAAGCATGGGATGAAATGAACTATGGGATAAGATTGAACACACATGACCCAACTAATGGGTCCTTATCTGGTGGACAATCTGGAGTATTATTTTGAATATTGAACTGCAAGAAATCAATATCATTGTGACAAGCAGATGCTAGAAATATTATTTTAGAAATCAAAAATCAAAATAGAGGTCAAGTTGAAAAACGGATGAAATGTTGCTTAAGTGCTTTCCTTCACGTAATTAAATAATTATTAGACTTCTTTTTCAAGAAGCAAATTCTAGACTCTATAAATCTTTCATACCAACTCCTTGGACTTTGGTGGTGATAATATATTCTTCTAAAATACTTTTAAGGACACATATTATCCACGTATATATTAGATTTTGTTCAACTTGGTCCAAATTCAAGTATTCAACTACCAAAATACTCTCCTATCCAATCACGGTGCTTCAGCAGCTGAGCCGAGCTACAAACTTAATTATCATCTAATCCAAAGATAGAGTCAACTCTGCTTGTTAAAAGACAGAAACAATTATTCTAGGTTTGAACAGATGAATTAATTTCCATCTTTTCATAAGCATTGGATTTGACCCAATTTTAGTATTTGATGAGCTTGTGGTTTCAAATAGATTGTCAAAAAAAAAAAAAAAGATTTCAACTTTCAAATTCAATTTTGCATGCCTTTGAAATTTCATATTTTCATTGAATAATATTTGTTTCTGTTACTTGTTATTGTACAACCAATTACTGAAAATGAATGGATTTGAACAAAAAAAAACCATTTTTATAACTATGGAAAGAGGGTTTCTACATTTTGCATCTATTAATTTTATAGGGGGGGGGGTATGCTCTTGTTACAGCCACCTTCTTGAGCAATATTTACATCTTTTCCTTGATGTAATTGAATTGGAGAAATATGATGATCTAATATTTTTTATAAATTTTTTGAACCCAACTTATTGGATTCGAGCTTTTCCAACTCCAATTTTCAGTTTTTAGCCTGAAGCCAATAATAGTGAGGAATTAAACCATGTGCAATAGGAATTTGAGCAAATTTTTATTCAATAGCGCATAATTCTGCACATGCTTTTTAAAACCGATCAGGAGACCGAATCAGTTAGGGTTCAGTTACCGGGTACTTGAATAGTCAGCCTGTTCTGACAAAAAATAAAAAATAAAAGAAATGAAAATCGGTCAAAATCATTCGAAAGGTTAACTGCTCAGGTCAGCGGTTTGTTAATCAAAATTAGCGGTTTTTATGGAAAATCCAGTTTTGGGGAAAACCAGAACCGGTCACCTGTCCGGTCCAGTTCCCGGTTTTTCTGGTCCGACCGTCCGTTCCATTCCGGTTTTGAAAACCATGATTTTGCATGTACAAGTAGTTAAAGAAATAATCAATTTGTACAGTTGAGTTGTCTCAATGTCTTTAATTCTTGCTATTGTTATAAGAATTCCCAATTCAGGAAAAAAAAAACTCTGTGAATCATGAATTATTACTTACACAAGAAACAATTTACATCTAATACAACGACAATTAATCTTAATCAAGAGAAGAAAAAGTGAAAAAAAACATTAATACATGCATGATTAAATCACAACAATACCAAAGGCACTAATTTTACATCATACACACATAAACTCAAACACTTGATCGACACGAAAACACTTCTTACTGCAGACCCGCTACAAATTTAAGCTTTATAGCTCAGGAATCCGATTAATTACTTGGAGCGGAAAAGGGAGTATGTCGAGAGCATAACGAGCAAGACGAGTAGAATGGAAGCAAATAGAGAGACTGCAATAGAACTCCCAATGTGCCGGCAGAATTTGTCGTAGACGGAACAGATCTTACTCCACCCCACATTAGAATTTCCCCTAAGCCCAATGTAAGCGACACTGCCAGCCGTGCCGGTGGCCGAAGCCACCAACCCCAACATTAGCTGCACCAGATACAGATCAGTTCAGATTACAAAGTACAAACCCTAACCTTTCGGCAAGCAACAATGTCTGAGAGCACAAAGAGCAAAAGGAAGTTCAGAGCTTACCACATCACTAAAGGCCAAGTGGAGCAAGAGTTTCTTTGAGGGACATGGCTTCCAGATAGTTGCCAGGGATGTAAGCGTGGAAATGAGACCGTGTAAACAGGCCACTGAAAGTGCAGCCACGAAGTATCTGCATGCATGGTTAATCCAAATTAGACCGATGGATGTTACTTATTCCTGGTTAGACCAGTTCGACTGGTCGAATCGGCTGGTTAGACCAGCCGTGGTGGTTGAATACAATCACATAACATTTCTCTAGACCTGTCAATTGGGTTGGGTGGGTCGGGTTTGAGTTGGGCCAAGACACTTTGGGCTGATTTCGGATCAGGTTGAATTTTAGGTTGGGTTGTCAAATGCTAAATCTTAATCCTAAATGTTCGAGTTAGGGTTAACCATGGGTCAATTCGGGTCATTCCAAAAAATAACTGAAATTTAAAAAAATAAAAAAACTATATGAAAAATCCAAAATTAAAGGAATTAACTTTAAAATTCTAAATATGAAATAAAAAAACTTAAATATTTAACAATTTAAAAAATAAACAATAAATAGTAAAGACTAAATAGAAAAAATTAAAGAGTGGAAACTTCTAATAATGCATAAATAGTTTCAATTAAACTTGACAATTGAGTCAACGGATTAAAACATGACCCAACTCAGTTTTTTCACAGATTGGATCAATTTTTTGCCAGGTCTACATTTCTTACATCTGGATCGCAATGGCATGCTTTTTGGATTTGCTACGCCCAAATGGGAGATCAGCTTCAGTCAAAGCAATGTCCGTTTGAATACTGTTCGAACTGTCTTTATAACCTTGCATCGGAAATATCTCAGTACTTGCTTTATTTCATGAGGAGATATTCTCGATGCAAGGCTACGATGGCTGTTCGAATGGACTTTGCTCTGACTGAATTCTGTTTCGTGCACATAATCAGCTCCACTTTTATCTAATCTGCTAGCCTGCTAGGCCCAATGTCCATTGTCATAGCGTGTTTTTTTAGCTCAACGGGATGGCTGAGCGGATAAAATCGGCCCACAACAAGATTCTCCACAAAGGTCCCATAGCCCTGTGCCCGGTGCACAAAAATCAGCTACACTAGCCTTAGGCTAAAACCGTAAATTACAGTCTCCATGTATTGATGTGACCCCACCAATTCATGAATGGGCTCGTATAAACTGCGACCATGGTCGCAGAACACTTCAACGACCTCCGGTGAATTGTGAACACGACGCCAGTACTCGTAAAACAATTCAATACATCACGTCAATTCATTTTTTTTTTTAATTTCAAAACTCAAACACGCCGGCGTGTTCACATTTCAGTAATGTTTTCTCACCATGAATTGGATGACGTAAGGAAAGGGAGGCCACAGCAATGCCATTATTTAACGGTTTTAGTCCAGCGCTGCTCCGGTGAGAGCAACTGATTTATCCAAAGCAACAATCAGTGAAAGAGAGCAAGCCAATCGTCTTCCCTCGGGCCCTCGGGGCACCCAAGAAGAAGGGTTATCTAAAAAAGCAGAAAGCAAAACATCCTCCTCTTCAGGAACTTCTCGGCCGGGGTCGCTCAAGCAGCGGCCGGCCGGCATGCTTTGCCAGTTTGTGCGGCTATATATGGCAAAGCGTAGGACCAACTTTAATTGAGATGTACTAATTCTAATCGTAGTTGTTAAAAGAAGTAAACAGACTTACATAAAGGCGGGAGAATGGTTAAACTTGGCTGCTTTAGCCACCCTGGCCGGCACTGGTAGAAGTGGGATTGGGATGAACTCGGTCTGCTTGCTGGTGACCATCACCACAACGGCCGTAAGTGTCGACGCAAACAGTAGGAACCTTAGGGAGAAATCCAGCACGGTGAAGCTGCCCGTGGTGCGAGAGGACGTTTCTCTTGGTGCTTGAGATTCCGACATAGTCTTGCCGRAATCGGCTGTTGGCTTCTTCTCGGTGGTGGTGCTCTCCATGGGCGTCCTCTGCTCTATCTCTAGCTAGCCCTCTTTTTTTTCTTGGATACGTACTATTTCATGTAATAATGTAAATGGATAGGGAGATGGACGAGTAAGGAGATGACGATTATTATAGAGACGAGAGACTCAGAACCGGGGTGGTCCGGCACGGTAGTTGGTTGGTTGGTTGCAGGACTCGACACGCCACTTACGCCCTACAGATCGTGCGTGGACTGTAGGCGGCTTTCATGGGCGACTGCTATACATGATGGATTGATGGCTCCTCGCCTCCTCGCCTCCTCGCCTCTGGACCCCAATCTACCAGAGTTCGGACATGCTGATCATAATACATGGTTGGCCATGTTCATCTAGCCGCACGGTCGGAATAATTTTGTAATCCATATCATTGACATTTTCAAAAAAATGTAGTCAGCAATGTATTGCGGTTAGCAAATTTGGACTCATCTATCATTCAACCAAAAAAAAAAAGGTAGTGTGAACCCGAGCTTCTCCACTGCAATTCAAGTCTTGTGTGAATGTTTGAAGGAAAAAAAATAGAAAATTGGTGGCTGATCACCTCTACAAGCTGCAGCTTCACCTCTCATGCATAATTTTCAATAATCAATAAGGGAATAAAGAACTCAACTACAGTGCATTCTGATGTTGCAAATACGTAGCAGATATTTTGTCAATTGGATGAATCGAAGTGAAAAGACGAAGTTGTGCATCGAGGACATGTAAGCAGAGAAAGATCAAAAGCCTGAGGATGTGATCCCCATTGCTTAATGAGCATTGAGTTGCATTGCTGATGTGGTCAATGTGCATTTGGCCAAATTCATTGATTGCAGCGTACACGTGGTAAGGGTGAACAACTAGGATACAACCCAAATACTTTCAACGATAAAATCCAAATCTCAACTAATTACCTTAAAATCATCTGGGTCGATTTGGTTTGGAGTCAAAATTAGAATAAAAATTGGAATCAAAATTTCCTGGAATTCGAACCTATTCTTATATATAATATATTTGATTCAAATAAGAGTAAAAAACAGAATTGAAATAAGTTGAAATGAAATTTCATTCGCAAGAAAGGGGAAGGGAAGAGCCATTCTCTCAAATGGGAGAATGGGAATGTAATTCTAATTCCACTCAACCAAATAGTTGGAGATTCTGATTCAAAACCTTGTTCATTGATTCATAATTTACAAAGTATACATTCACCTTAGGCTGAGTTTGGAAGGAATACAAATGCAAATATGTAAAGTGCAAATAGGGGTGGATTCGAGTTGAGCCAAGCCGAATAGTACCAGGCTCGAGCTCGAGTTCAGCTCGAGTCAAGAGTTCATAAGCTCGAGCTTGGCTCAGCTCAATTCGTTTTATATTTTATAAAAATATTTAGAKAAAATATTTTATAAAAATAAAAATTATATATGAATTTTTTTATTTTATATTTAAAAAATTAAGAACTATAATGATTAATAATTATAATATTTTTATTATATATATTATATATTAAATATAAAATACATATATATATATATATTCGAGCCGGCTCGCGAGCCTCACGAACCGAGCTCTAGTAGAGTTAAGCTCGGCTCGTTTAATAATCGAGCTACTGAATTGGGCTCGAACTCGAGCTCGAGCTCGGCTGAAACTGAGCTGAGCTGAGCTTTTCACAAACCGAGCTCAAGCAACTCATGAAAAGCTCGGGTCATTGCCACCCCTAAGTGCAAAACCTTATAATTTATATTATTTTGTATGTATTTATGCTCTACATATTTGCATTTGTACTCCTTCTAAAGTGAGCCTTATGAATAAAAAATATCATTAGTCCACATTTTTGTTCACACAATTTTGCTGAAAATCAAACAACAAAGTGGGATCTTACCAACCAAAAGGAAAACCAAGTAAGTTGGAAATTCATAATAAAAAAGTAAAAAATAAAAAACTATAAATATTTTTTATAAAACAGAAATTAAAAAAAAGGGAGGAAATTAAAATTAAAAAATATGTTYTTGTTCACAACGGCAGACTGAAAAGTGGGCTTTATCTGTTCATTGACAAAGGGTTCACCTCATTTCATATAATCCAACTAAATTAAATGAGATGTCATCTTCACCTTATGTTGGCATAGGCGACTCCATATTTATGGGTTGTGCTGACTTTTCATCGTTGGTTGCTTCCGATAAGTCTGTAATTAAATTCAATTTGAATTTTTCATATTTATGCCTCAGGCTCAGGTTTTGATAGGTAAATCAATAATTGCTTTAAATTGAGTTAGTGATTTGACTAATAAAAGCCTAAAAGGATGATGAAATTCTTATAAAGTAACTAGATGAAACTACAAATACTCATAAAAAAAATTTATTTGTTTTATCGTTTGCCGTGCGAAGAGAATCAAACAATAATTTAAGTAGAAAAAGAATGGAAGCCCATCTCTAAAAGAAAACCCAATAATGATTTGATTTAGACATCTTGTCTGTCGGGCCACTAAGACAACCCAAATCTCCCAATAATAAACTGTTTCAAAGCGATAAGCATCGTCTCTCTCTCTCTCTTTAATGTTTTGAATTTTTGATTTAGACATCTTACTTGTTTATCCACATGATAATATGTGAGAGGGGTTAATCCACATCATATCACAATTTATAATTGTTCTGAATGGTAGATAAATTGTGTGGATTGGTCAAAAGATTATCACACCATATTTTTTCCATTCTTCTACATTATACTTTTTCAATTCTATGTATCTCATATATATTTTATGAATGATTTATACAGTTAATTATAAATATCTAATTTTTGCATTTTATATGATAAATATATTGAAAAATGTATAAATGAATTAATACTAACCAATAAATATTAAATTTTCTATAAAAATAATAGTAAAATAATTAAAAAATAAAAAATATGCTTTAAATATTTAAAAATATTATTTTATTAATAAAAAACATTAAAATTTTATAAAAATTAAGTAAAATAAGTAATATTTTATTGACAAAATAATTAATATCGGCAAATGGACCAGTGGTGGAGAGTTACAGCGGTGGAAAGTTTCAGCRTGCGGCCAGCAAAGATCTCCAACGGTAAAATGTGAAATAAACAATATAGGGCTTTAGACTAAATAGACTGTGGACGAGCTATCCACGAGTTTTTTCCGTTGATACTAAATTGGAGTGTGAACAGGACCGATCCCCAATATAGCGTGGACTAGTCCCATCCATGAGATGAACACTGCCCTCCCAATATTTGTAACGGGTAATTTGAGACAAGCTATCCCCTGATTTGAGTTCAGTCCCCCTCAGAATTTCTAATGCATTCTGCTTCAGCCCATCTGTTAGACTGTCTATGAAACCTTATACGAGTTCGTATGAACTCCCAGTCCCCACAAGCGCCCCACCGCGCATCCCCTCTGTGTATTAGGAACATATTCTATACTTGTCATGGAAGATGTTCTCAATGTGTGGAGAGGATGTGCAGTGGAGTGCTTGTGGGGTAAGCCTTGTGGAGAACCCTCTAAATTCCCTTTATACCTGAATGAATTTCGGTGAAAAGGGACCATTTTTGGTCCTCCATTCATGATTTGCCATGTTTTTCATAACATCATGAGGTCAAAAGAGGGAAAAAAAAAGCAAGAAACTGTTTATCGGAAAAAAAACTTTCATATATTTCTAAAAGAAATTGTTAAATTTCCTAAGAGATGGAYTGAAACATATGAAAATTTAACATATTTTGGTAAAGTAAAATCAAAATGCCTACATGGTGCTGATGTGACAGTATTTATTTGGAAAATAACCACACTACCAAACACTTATTTAATCCATAAATGCACAAAGCATACAGGGGTTTTGAAATGGATTTTTACCCATAAATATGAGTCCAGATTTGCTACGTACCCACAACACTACCCATAAGACACAGCTAATACACAGCTGCACATTGGTATGCGTGGTAGCATTTTTGTGAGTAGTAGAYCCCATCTCATTTTGACTACAGACCTCCTGCCCCCTACATAATACTATGTAGGAGGATGAGATATTCCCTACGTGTGGTTGCGATGTTATATGGGTAGACATGGGCATAATTCTTGTGGGCAGGAGATTCAGACTCTCTAATTTCAACCATTTGCTTGTATGCAATGGGATTTTGATTTGAATGGGATTTCCCATACGGGGGAGTGGCCATTCCAGGCTCCCCTTGGGAATGGAGTTCCCATGTTAGTCTATTAGGAAGTAAAGAATTCTTCACAAAAACCCCCAATCCTTATATTAATAAAATATTATTAAAGTAATAATAAAAAATTATGGGGCCGTTTCACAAGTCTTTTTGGGAAGATCTTAATAAAAAAATTATGGGGCCGTTTCACAAGTCTTTTTGGGAAGATCTTATGGTAGCTCTAACAGTCAAGACACATTGAACTTTTGCATGAAGATCTGAGCAATCCGAAGCTAGTTTGGCTATTGCGCGCCTTTCCGTGTTTTTCCACGCGAGAATAAAACGAGAAAGATGCGAAAAGCTCCATTTGGAACTTCCCAAAATCAGCCCAAAATTGGCTTYTCACGTCTTTTTGGCACACTGACTTTTGGTGGCTAGATCTGTTACGAACCAAACGGAAAAAGACCGTCGTGCGCTTTGCTTGGCTTGTAAACAGCTGAAAGACCACACGGAAAGATATGCTAAACAGAGCCTATATATTAGTAAGTTATTAATAAAATAATAGTAAAATAGTAATAAAATTATAGTATTATAATAAAATTTTAATAAATTAATAATAAAAATAAGGGATTTTTGGACTGCAATCCCCCTCAGAAATCTTATTTGCAACCCCCTCCTAGTCTACTAATACTCCCCCCCCTATAAATCACATCCTGCCCGTGAATTTGGCATCAATCCATGGGCAGGATTCAATCCACTCCTAAAAATTCTAGTTCCACCTAGGGGTGGACTGAACGATAAAAAACCCCTAAAAATAAAGATATGAATTATTAAATATTAATAAAATAATAAATTATTAATAAACTTGTAATGAAATATTCATAACAACAACAACCTATTCATAAAATATTAACAAATTAATAWTAAAATACTAAGTTTTTGATTATTAAATAATAATAATAATATAATAAAGTACTAATAAAATATTAATAAATTAATACAAAATTGAAAAACTTTCAAATGATTCTAATTCCAACTCCAATGAACTAAACAACAATGACTGGAATCTGATTCCAATTCCTGCATGAACCAAATAGGCAATTCTGATTTCAATTCTAGGGGCTTCCSATTCCAATTCCAATCCATACCTGACT